ATTACGAAGCGTTCGCATCGACTTATGCAATGGGGGATATTTTCACCCAGATTAGGATGGTTGGGGGAAGGCCCAAAGCTGACCCAAAACACCGAGATAGTCCAGATACTCGGATTAAACGAGAATCTTGAGATAGGTGATGACCGCTAGTTATCACGGGTACCACGAAAATACGACCAAAGGTCGCCACGTGAAAGTAAAGGACCACCACGTGTTGCCACGTGAAACTAACCCGTGGTATAAGTCAGACTTGATTCTGATCAAGTTTAGTTTGTGTCGACCTGTTGATACGAGAGGATGTGAGAATGTCAACGTAAGAGTGCTTGTTGAGAAAGGAGACCCTGACGACGAAGTGTGAAGCCAAGATCGACCATGCCAGTCTGTGAAATGGCCAGAACCTCAACTTGATCCATGGGAGCCGACTTTGGTCAGTGAATGCAAGAAGAACCTGTTCGTCGAAGGCTGCGTGAATTTGTGTGCGAGAGCTGTGTATTAGGACTACGACTGGACATGGCTGTAAGGTATATCATGTCAATAAATCGATGCTCGTACGACTAACTTGGTGTCGGCTTGTACCAGTTGTGTAACGCAGAGTGTGTGAGAAGAACATTCACGACACACGCATGAGCACCACCTAGACAACGAGAATATAAACACACCACTTATTATAACTTAGCCACAGAGCCGACAAAGATACACTAACCAACCTCAGCAGCACCTGACTGTTGTGTGGTTTCTCTGGGTCAATTCACGTCCAGTAGTTTGCCCCCTGATACCACTGTCGAAACCAACGCAAGGCAGCTGGGATCGAACCAGCCACCCCGGCATTACGAGATGTTAGCATCGACTTGGCCATAGAGCCGACCATAACTAACAGATTCAAATAATAACATCAGTGTGTATAATTAAGTGCTGTGCCAGGACTGCGCAGCTGGCCTTTCAATTAAGTTCTGTATTTCTGTATTTTATTTAGACGTAGCTTTTGAAATCTCATTATAACAATGAACATGCGTGCACTTTTGGTGCATCCAAGAAGAAATAATAGAGAACCATGTCGAAGCATTGTTTTACAAATACGCGTCTAGAAAATACAGTTCCTGGTCCCTGTATTGTGTGTGCCCCACAGGCTGAAACTAATGGTAGTCCTCGGTGGTTGGTTTAATGTTACTTCAGTGAAGTTAAAGGATTTCACTACTGATGTCAGACTAACGTTGGAACTCACTTACCCAACAGTGCAAGAAGACAGCATGGGATGTCAGCTTGTTAAAATAGTAATGAGATGTTAATGGTTACCAGGGGTCGGCAGCAGACACTGCCTTCAGCATGAGATTTTTTAAACACGTTTTTAAAAGGTGATTAAAGACGGAAGTGGTGATCAACATTGGCTGGTATGTGGGTCTGTCTCCTGTGATAGTATGCACACTGCAATAGTTCTTTTCAGAGATACCTGGTGTCGAGCAATGGTAAGCCATTTTATATCGCGCACATTACCTAGTCATAATTATAACCTAAAATTCCCCTTTCGGGGATACTGATTGAACGTGACAATCATTTTTAACGAAAGCAGCGAAACGAAGGAGAGTGATGATTTCATTGGGGAAAAAAGAAGAAGAAGAATAATGCCGTCTCTCTCTCTAATTCTGTACGTATGTCTCACTCTATTTTTAAATCTATTTTCTCTCTTCCTTATTTTTTCTTGCCCTGTTTATCTCTGCGTATGTCACTCCCTCTGTTGTTCCCTCTAGTTCTCTCTCTCTCTCTCTCTCTCTCTCTCTCTCTCTCTTGCTCTCTAGTTCTTTCTCTCTATAGTTCTCTCTCTTTCACTGTCTTTTTCTCTCACTCTCTCATTCTCACTCTTTCTTTCAATCTCTTTCTCTGTCTCATGCTCTTTCTTTTTTTGTCTCTCTCTCTATCTCTCTATCTCTCTCTCTCTCTCTCTCTCTCTCTCTCTCTCTCTCTCTCTCTCTCTCTCTCTCTCTCTCTCTCTCTCTCTCTCTCTCTCTCTCTGCAGAGCGTTTCCTCTTCAGCAATGAGTTTCGGACGAAACACAAACATAGTAGTTCTAGCTACGGCGCCTAGGGATCTCAGGAACACGACACTTGTGATTAAACTAAGAGTTTTCAACTGAACCCATGAGACCGTTAGACAAACAGCTGGCCACTTTCTGTAACTTTCAGTGATAGAAATGTGTAATGGTCAAATAATTTTGAATTACCATTCTTGGCTATTTTCCTCTAATGTAAATATTAAAGACAATCATATAACAAATAATACTTCGCTTCGTCCGTGGCTTAGGCGTTGAGAGTCCGATTCTTAATTCCGACGTACCGTGATCGAAACCCACTGCTTGCTGCGTAGATTTTATCATAAATGGGGTGTCGCAGATCGACCCAGCCAAAATGGGTACCAATATGGCTGTCCTGGAAAAGTACAAACGGCCGGCGTAATGCTGACCTGAACAGATATTTAATCTACGCATTTTATCTTAGAAATACCACCAGCACCAAACTTATCTATACTATGTGTTCATTGATTTCAAAAAAGGCCTTTGATAGAGTATGGCATGCAGCACTCGGGGACACTATGAAAAAGTACAACAAGGGTAAAACCCTCATACGTACTATAGAACATCTCTATGCCAAGGCTAGCAGCAATGTCAAGCTGAAGGGATATATAGGAATCTGGTTCCGAACAACAGTAGGAGTCCAGCAGGGCTACCTCCTCTCTCCAACACTGTTTCACATCTTTTTAGAAAGAATTATGACTGATGCCCTAGAAAAACAATATGAAACAGTTAGTATCGGAGGTCGAAATAAAACAAATTTAAGGTTTGCAAATGACATCGATGGGTTGGCTGGAGAAGAACAAGAACTGTCAAGCTTGTAAATCTACTCGATGAAACATCAACTAAGTATGGCTTGGACATAAACGAAAAAAAAAAAAAAAAAAAAAAAAGTAATGACTAATAATCCAGCTGGCAGAATTTCACTATTATTCTAGATTAAAGGTCACACATTAGAAAAAGTGACTAATTTCAAATAGTTAGGATCCATTTTAAGCGACTTGGGGTCATGACCAGAAATCATGTCTAGGATAGTCCAGACAACATCAGCCCTTGCCAAGCAGCAAACATTATCGAAATCCAAAATCATTTCATGCAAAACTAAGATTCGATTGTTCAGAGCACTAGCTATTAGTACATTTACACATGGCTGTGGAACGTAGACCTTAACAGCTGAACTCGAAAGAAAGATACAAGCATTTGAAATGGATTGTTTAAGAAAAATTCTTGGCATATCATACGGAGACCACATTACAAACGAAGAGGTTGGCCATAAAATTATACAGCACATAGGCAACTATGAACCTCTTTTAACTACAGTGAATAGGCGAAAGATTTACCGGCCTCTTAAAAAACAATACTGCAGGGCTCAGTAGAGGGGAAAAGGAGAAGAGACAGACCAAGAAAGACCTGTTTACAAAACCTGACTGACTGACATTCCTCAGGAATGCAACCATGAAGTCCATCGCTGACCGCCAAAGGTAAAGAGATAATGGGATGATGATGATGATGACGACGACTGCTGACCACATTACCCACCTAGTGCCGATGGTCTGTAAAAATATGGGCGCTTTTCCCAAATACCCGATACGCCTAAAGGCGTGAAAAGAGATCTTTACTTTACTTTAAATAGTATTTCACTCGTAATATCAAAATGAAGTATGAAAGCAACCATTCTCTTCCGTTTCGTCTGAGCTGAGTTGAGTTGAGTCAAAAATTGACATCACAGCACTCGGGGCATTCCCATCCGTCCTCATCTTCAGCAGCCAGCGCAGAATTCGGTTTCGTCTTTGAAACCCCACAGCAATGTGTGGTGCACGTTTTAACCAGCTGGATTAAAATCAGAGCGGTCTTATGTTAGAAGCATTGCCTTCGCTATTGAAGACTATACTTTTATCGATGAGCTGCTTATTGAGTGCTGATTGTTTTATTTTTGTTTTCAAACATAAACTAGCACCATATACTTAATACTTCTCTGTGTTTGTAAACTGATTTCTTATTGTGTAAAATGTATGGCTGTATCCAGCATGCGACAAAAGTGCACGCCCGCCCAATATACTTAACATTTCATGTAAAGTAAATAATAGAGCCTGTGTAATCCTCGTGTAATCCGCCTTTCTTTCCCTAACTGCCAAGCGACAGACCTAGCAAGCGGGCAGTGGTGAACTGATTGCTACTGCACAAGAATTATTGAAACAAGAAAAGACAGGGTTGCGAATGCCAGCATTAGAGAGACAGTTGGAATAAGATCATGTCTGGATTATATTGACAGACAAAGAATGAAATGTTTCAGCCATCTAGTGAGAATGCAGCCAGGCCAAAGTGCAAATGAAACTTTTTACAGCAGAACGTCTGAGAGGAAGGCGAGAGGAAGACCAAGAAAGAGATGGATAAATGGTTTAGCTGAAACCTGCAAACAGATGAACAAATGCATCACTCAAACCACCTAAGAAGCACAAGACAAATACAGAAAACCACGACACTGGGCTACAACCTGGTATAATAAGATGACAAAAGAAGAAGAACAAGAGATATCTTCATAGCGCATCTAGCAAACAATATCATAGTTTTTAGACCCCAATGGATCATATGGTCAACATCACTTAGGTCGCCTTTATTTCCTGTGGCATTACCATGTATCCATTTAAAGCTGGGTCGGTCTTGAAGCTATTGTTAATTCTGAAGTGCCCCCCCCCCCCCCCCCCAAAAAAAAAACACGGAAAAAAACACAAATTTTTGAGGCGGATTTTATCCTATGATGTTTGTGCTGGAAAACGAGCTTCTATCCACTATACTACTGCAGTTCCTTTCCTAGTTAACACTGGAGCTCATTTTCTCGGCTAAAACAGATTGTTTTTTTCGGCTAAAGCCTTTAAAAAATTCCACACGCCATGATGGTATTTTTTTGTGTGTAAACATTTCGACTGTGACGTCGAGCATGAGCAATCAAGCAAGGCACTCTCTAAAGCACAGAATCTTGTACTGCTTACGAACCTTGTTGTTTACATCTTTCTTTGTCAAAATACGAACTTCTTCTTTTTCTTCTTCACTTCTTTTTTTACCTCTGCGATTTTCGAATGAGAAGCAATGTTATGATAAGAACTTCATTTTTTTCTGTGATTCTTTATTTACAGCAATGTTATACTTCACTTTCTCTGTCGTTGCTTTGATTATTTACTGGTTTGCAATGTTATTATACTCACTGACTTGTTCTGTGTTTGTTTAATCCGAATATTTCAGAAGTCAGTGAGCATATTTCAGAATCATCTCTGCCCCAGGGCCCAATTTCCACTCCTGGTGGCTTAGAATAAGACTGTTCTTGAGACTTTCAGGCCCACCGCGGTTTCAGAGCAAAGAGAAGTATTCGCGACCTTATGTTTACGGATAAGTTGGAAAAAAAGAAGTCCTTGACTATAAAAGTGAGACGCATCTATGTTTCTTGGATCTAGAGAAGGCATTTGCTAAGGTTTTCTGTAGTAAGCTCTGCTATGCTAGGCAGGGATGCATTTTTCAGCACATTCCCTAATCAACGCAGTGCATAGTTTCTACAAAAGAAGTTACTGTGTAAGAACCGCAAGCCAAAGGTCAGTACACTTCCAGACCACTAGCTGTGTTAGACATAGTGATATTCTGTCATCTTACCTTGCATTATTCTAGTCTGATGTCATCAAGACCTGCAAGCAGAAGTCGAAGAAGTACTCGGTAGGGTACTTAAAGATGCGAGCAATCTTTATGTAAGAGCTGGTATTTGCAGACGATGTGGCCCTGACTGTTACATCTGAGATATATCTTCAATCAATTTCTGGATTTAAGAACCCGAAACCAGAGGGATGACCATCAGTATTACCACAAGCAAAATCATGGTGATCTCAAGAGAGAAGGGGAAACATCAGATCATGATAGAACAGTATAGATTGGAGCAGATAAACCAGCTCAGATATCTTGGAGTTGGCTACATGAAAACAAGAAATAGCAGCTGGGGGAAATTTTCAAAGCCATAAACAGAGATTTGTGTCAGCAGAAGAGAAATTAACAAGAGGACAAACATGGTTGTTCACCGCTATATCAATGCGACAGACCTGATCTACAAGTAAGAGTCATGGGCAATAAGACCAGCTCACAGAAGCTAGCTAGAGGTCTTAGAGATAATGTATTTGAGAAAGGTGGCCCAGATGACAAGAAAGCATCATGTTCGCAACCAGACAATATGTTATTATGTTGAAACCTGGGCCTTACAGCTTCGAGAGGATCAGTCACATTTACGATGGTTTTAGGATATTCGCACAATAGGAGAGAACTGGCACGGCGGCAGGTATGAGAGGTAAAGAACCACGGAACCAGACCTTAATGGCACTCCTGGGATCGCTTGAAAGACATCTGACAGTCCCTGACTTATGGTGGGCTGAAATTTAATAAATTCAAAAAGAAAACTGCCCATAGAGAAGTTTTTTTTTTTTTTAAATTCTCTGACAGACCTCTACATCCCACTGTAGGACAGCATCAGCTAAGTAAGTAAATATATTGAATCTATAGTAAGACGTGAAGGAAAGTACCTCTACTATGTTTAATACTATTACTCAAATTAATGGATTCAAAAGCAAAAAAGACTAGCATGTACATTAGTTTAAAACCAAAAGATCGCAAAATAGAAGTGATTTAAAACACAGTGGACTTAGATCTGGGAATAGACGGGAATGCCGATGATGTTATTGATAATGCTGATAGCTACGACGACAACGACGTGACTCAGTGTATAGCTGCCTCTGGCCAGACTTTTCTTATATCCAGTTCTGGCTACTCACACTTAATAATCAGTCTCATTCTCTATCGCACAGTTAACCGTAAATTCAATTTTGACTATGACCACAGACTGAACTCCCGCCTTTCTCTTTACCAACTGATATTTGATGACACACTGAGGGCCAGCTATAAGCAAGCAATTTATTGGCACATTTTAAATTAAGCAATTTCGCACAACTTTGTGACTTACTGCACACATTACATGAATGAAGAACGTAGACTGAATGTTTACATCATACTGAAGGTAACTGAAAAGAAATTAGACTTCTTAAGATTATCATATAGCCTACTTCAGAGATTGAAAACATTTGCTTCACAACTAACGCGTCTACAACTGGTGTGTATGGTGTATTTCTTTCTCGTGCAGGAAATATATTCTAGATAGTTTGTTTACTAGTTTCAGTCGTCCTTTGCTTAACAAAATTAGCAGCCCGTCTACCAGTGACATCGTTTTGGTCTAGACGGGTGGATTCAGAAGAGAAGTAATAATGAAGCTTCAGGGTAACCTAATTGCAACATTCTAAGAAATTCTACTACTCTGTGCCGGGACTTGGAATGTCCGCAGAGGCTACTAATTCACATTTTGTTGAAACTCTAGCCAAATACTGAAAAAAGGTGAATGTACTTTCTTTTTTTATTCTTTTATTTTCCCCCCTGGGGTTTGTTAGCTAAACCGTCGTTCTAATGAAAAACGCACAGACATTTTTGTGTGTGTGTTTTTTGTTTCGGGGTTCTTCGCTCAGTTTTCTTTGCTTTATTCGTTTCTTATATGTTTTAGTTTTGATCACGTGCATATCATCATCATCATCATCATCATTATCATTATTATCATCAGCACCACCATCATCTTCTTGTCTTTTTTTTCCTTTTTCTTTTTCTTTTTCTTTCCCCTCTCCCCTCTCCCCCTCCCCTACCCCCCCCCCTTCCCTTTTCTGTTCTTTCCACTTTCCAATTCTTTAGTTTTCCTGTCACGTGTTCTGGCTTGGGCTTAGCTGCGTTGTAACAGAACTGTGCCATCTGCACCTTTCGGCATACATATTAAATTACTTCATTGTAAGCTGTAATAATGTAGTGAATATACGTGAATATACGTTCCCCTTAGAAGACTTATAATTAGCGACATGATCAAAGCAGTCACTAATTTATTGGGTTTTTTTTTTTTTTTAAACCACATGTGCAACTGATAAATAACACAATAGCTGACAGTCTAGCTGGACAAATTCCTACCTTGCTTTGTATACTTATATAACTTTGCACTGATTTTTACGGTAGAACAAAAACAAAACATAATTATAATATAAACGATGACTAGAAAACCCTCTTCTTTTTACTTTTTTTTTGCTTCTTCTTCTTCTTCTTCTTCTTCTTCTTCTTCTTCTTCTTCTTCTTTTTCTTCTTCTTCTTCTTCTTCTTCTTCTTCTTCTTCTTCTTCTTCTTCTTCTTCTTCTTCTTCTTCTTCTTTTTCTTCTTCTTCTTCTTCTTCTTCTTCTTCTTCTTCTTCTTCTTCTTCTTCTTCTTCTTCTTCTTCTTCTTCTTCTTCTTCTTCTTCTTCTTCTTCTTCTTCTTCTTCTTCTTCACCAACTTCTCCTTCTTCTTACGCACCATCTTCTTCATCCGCTTCCTCCTCCTCTTTTTCTTTTTCTTCTTTTTCTACTTCTTCTGCATCTTTTTCTTTGCGTTCATCAGCTGTACACTGCTGTGGAAAGTTTTGATGATTACAGATTTGAATTATTGCGTGCACATCTTTTTACAGATCTAGATTATGTGTATGTAGACTGTTGACCTCTCATGGAGATTGTCACATATCACTCCTGTCGCGTGCCTAATGTAAGGATTTCCCCTTCAGAACCAACAGCACTCAGAGATAATTATGTTGAGTCGTTTGGCTCGTATTGGTCTAAGGGATTCCCCGTGGCCAATATACGCTCAACTTATCTCTGGAGTAGGGCAACTCAAGTATTGGCACTACAAAATATGTCAGTATATGAATACAATATTTCTAATCACACTTGGCTGGACACCTCCACTACTTACTAAAGAAAGCCCCCAGGTTATGATAGTTCATTATCATAACCATGTTAACACATATAATGAAGATACATACATACACAACTGCTAAACACTTAAAAAGGTGAAATAGAGACACCTAAGTCAGCCATGAAAATGATTGCATGTAATCAATATAAAATAGATATATAAAAGTGAGACAAATGCCAGATCTCCTAGGCTAGATCTCAGGATATCATGTCCAAATCACAAAGATGCTACACAGACAGAAGGTCCTGGAGATGACATCTTGTCATCATTGGGAAACATAGGAGCTGTGAGGCACAAAGCAAATCAGGCATCAAACTTAGCTTCTCTTCTTTCTGTCTATGATGCCTCCCTCAGCTCCGGATGATTCGACTGTCTTTGACTATGGGAATTCTGCTCCATTGGATCAAGTGGTAAGATAGTACCTCACCATAGAGGACACAGCACTGTACTGGTACTTAGCAAGTCTCTATCACCAGTTAGGACACACATTGTCTTTGAGCTCCACTAAGCTCTAGCACTGGTAGGCTGTTTGCGTTCTAAGCTCCCACATATTGATGAAGTCAGGAACCTTCACAGGTGTCAGCTGGTGGGTAGTTGGTTTATGGTTTATTTATGGTTGGTGGGTGTTGGTTGGACTGTGAAACTTCTGCCAGCTCCTCACAAAGGATTTATCCTGTCAAGAAAATAACTCAGAATTAGTCATCACCAAGAGGGTAACATCTTGACAGGAAAGACAGAACAAGCATCAGTCATCAACCTCCATCTGCTTATTCCACCCTGCTCTCCTGTTTCATTCCTCAGAATGCCTCTCTAGACCCGGAGATACAAGTCTCCTATATTCATCTGTCTGTTTAGTGCAAGAGAAGGCAAGTCAGATATACAGTGGAGATAGATAGAGTGTTCTAACACATATATCACTCTCTCTCTCCCCTCCCCTCTGGACACAGACACCAATATTTACTGTCAGTACATTTATTCCTCAGACTCCCAAAGCCCGTCGTATCATTCATTGATCTGGGTCAAACACACTCTACACACTGGCCGACAAAGTCCTGACCTAATTCTGTCCCCATTTTGTATGCACAAACTTCTATAATTAGTTTAAATAGTACACACTTGTAAGGTTATAGGTTTTCCAGTATGGGTGGGTATTGAGGGCATAGGCTATTTAGTCTGTACAGGGGAAGGTCTACGTTCGAATCCGCTTCTCTAGCGATCAAGAACGGTCGAACTATGTGTGATCCCACAGCTGATACTGATCTCTCTACAGCAGTGACTACTTTACAGACATCATTTTAGGTACTCGTAAACTATAATTAACTTACCCAAGCATATGCAAAAACTGAGACATTCCAGATCGCCTTGTGAAATTGAAATTATACAGGCATAGATTGACACGTCTGGACGCTTGGAACCGGCAAGAAAGAATGGCGTCACTTACGCACTTCAGGCGTTGGTAAAAAAAGAAGTCCATAGTATACATGGGCAAGGTGTGCATCGGTTTCTAAGAAACCTCAAATAACTCCTCTAATATATATCGAAGATATATACATTTAAAAGTGGAGTTTAGTTAAAGCTACCAGAAAATGTAGACATAATAATGTTGTCCAATAAAGGCCTATATATATATAGATATAAGGGACTATATCTTTCCGGGCGAGTCGAAGTTTGAATTTTGTGCCGATTACAGGTAAGTTAGGTTACCAGTCTTACAAACTATTGCGATATGGCTTATCATTTCACGACAGAGATGCATTCCCACTTTGAAGGAAATATCCCAAATTAGTCAATTTTTCAACATGCAGTTCTTGTTTGGAACAGTGGGTTTATTCTGTTTTTCTTTTCCCCAGTCTTGGATCTTGGGACCCACACGGGAACTCTGAAGCAAAAGAAAGAGATGTGAGCATATATAACTGAACGTTTCGACCAGAGTTTCTTTTGCTTCTTCTTCTTCTTCGCGTTTACGGCTGTAAACTCCGGTGAAAAGATCTAGGTTTTCGCGCACTTCTAGACCCTAGTCTAGTCCAGAACCTGAGTGTTGCGCGCACTGCAGTTTTACCAATTTTACCAGTTTGTATGCAGACTGGTGATTCATTGCCTCTCTGGTAGATGCATTCTTACTCTGAAGGATGCTTCCAATTAATCGACGTTAAAGCCTTTTTTCTGTGGTGGAGGAGGGGGGGGGGAGGCGGGTAGTCACTGGGTCTAATCTTGTTAGCCCCCCCCCCCCCTACTCCCCACAATATTGCGTCGGAACCCACACTGGAACCACTGTTTAAACCCAGGTAAATAAACTGTCTCTCAAAAATACAACCAAACGCTTTGACTTTGCTACGTTTTTATTGTTCTCTTCGATGACCTTGCTTGATTTAGCCTGTGTTGTGTCGAATTACTCCACAGCTAGTGCTGGCATTTCTTCGCAAAATCCTGAAAACATGCCATTAGATTTCAATCATCACTTAACGTCTGCTTTACTATCTTCCACAGACGGGGTCAAGCCGTCTATGACAGACGAGCAGCGTCTTCTCAAGGCCTTAGTCTGGAATTACGACCCTGCCGTGAGACCTGTCTACGATGCCAGGACGCCAGTGATCATCAAACTAGGCACCACACTCACGCAGATCATTGACGTGGTGAGTTCGCGTTGTTTCTTTGTGTCATTTTACCAGCACTGGTCTGTTTAACATAAGATGTACACTATCTTGTACCCTGGGAAATATTTGCGACCAGCGTAATGTGGACCACACCACCCATAGAGTGTCGATTGGTTTTTAAAATAAATCTATCACAGTGACTCTCAACCTTCCTAATGCCGCGACCCTTTAATACAGATTCCTCCCCTTGTGGCGACACCCAGCTAATTATTTTCCTTCATAACTTCAATGAATATATGTTCTCCTATGGTCTTAGGCTACCCTTGTGAAAGGGTCGTTTGACCCCACCCTCCCCCCACCCCCCAAAAATGTCGCCACCTGCAGGTTGAAAACCGGTTGTCTAGCATTATATGCCTGCTGCGTCAAAGCTATGCAAAGGGATGTTTGCTGATTTTACGTCTTTATTCTTGTTTTTTTTTTTTTTTCGTTTTCTTCTTCTTCTTTCTTCTTCTTCTTCTTCTTCTTCTTCTTCTTCTTCTTCTTCTTCTTCTTCTTCTTCTTCTTCTTCTTCTTCTTCTTTTTCTTCTTTTTCTTCTTCTTCTTCTTCTTCTTCTTCTTCTTCTTCTTCTTCTTCTTCTTCTTCTTCTTCTTCTTCTTCTTCTTCTTCTTCTTCTTCTTTTTCTTTTTCTTTTTCTTCTTCTTCTTCTTCTTCTTCTTCTTCTTCTTCTTCTTCTTCTTCTTCTTCTTCTTCTTCTTCTTCTTTTTCTTCTTCCTTCTCCTCCTACTCCTCCTCTAGGCCTCTCTCTTCTTCTTCTTCTTCTTCTTCTTCTTCTTCTTCTTCTTCTTCTTCTTCTTCTTCTTCTTCTTCTTCTTCTTCTTCTTCTTCTTCTTCTTCATCTTCTTCTTCTTTTTCTGCTTTTTCTTCTTCTTCTTCATGTGTGTGTTTTTTTTATATATATATATATATATACCCTTGAATGGATGGCATCGCAAGTAGGGCGTAGTTATCTTGTGCCCATAGTGGGTGGGAGGTCTAGCAAAAAAAACATGTTTAATGTACATTAGCCATTGTTACATTTTGGGGTTACTTTTCAAGACATTGCTGCGCATAATAAGGAAACATTTTCAAAATTCCTTCGCAAATAACACGCAAAGGATAATCAAATCTCTGGAAGTTTACTGTTTGAGTGAAAGTTGGTCATTTCCGCTGTGTGAACTTGTCTTGTCAATAGCTTTCAAAGTAATAGTTATTTTAGTAGGCCATTACTGCAAACTCCAGAGATATGTTTTCATGGTCAAGGAATACATATAAGTTTACGGATCCAGCACAGCGCCGATTACTTACATTTATTTAAAAAACATAGACCTTCATAATTTGTTTTTAATTCTCAGTGCATTAACGGATTTTGTAAAAACTGTTAGTTCGTAAGAGTAATTGAAAAGTATTATTATTATTATTATTATTATTATTATTATTATTATTATTATTAATTATTATTATTATTATTATTATTATTATTATTGTTTTATCTTCAAATCAAATTATCAGGTTAACAAATCTTTGATTACAAATCATGACACTTTACTTACATAAGATAAAAACTAAAAATGCAGTTTTCTTGCTGCGAACTGCTCTTGTATGTGTTCAAAGCCAGTTTTTTTTTTTTTTTTTTTTTTTTCAGTTTCTTCTCTTTTCACGCTGGGTAGCACAAGATCACATACTACAATAAAAAATAACTTCACATAGTTGTTGCTCATCAACATCAGAGTTGTAAAAGTCACATAAACTTTCACACTTCTGCTTTAGTTCCTTGTCCAAACAATAACACAGTCCACATCGAGGAGGAATTAAAACTTTGCATCTATGTCAGGAAAACGTGTTTCAGACATTTCTCTGTGGAGTTGCTAATCCATAAAATTTAGTTTCGTATCCTTTACAGGACGTTGCAGAACTAACCCCACCATTTTTTGTCTGTTGTGGTTTTTATAGGCAAATTTACATCTAGTCGTTTACCAATGCTTCTGGACGGTGGGCTTCTCGATACCACTGTCAAAACCAACGCAAGGCGCAGAGTCCGCAGCTGGAATTGAACCAGGCACCCCGACATTACTGTCGTATGGCAGTTTTGTCGCGCACCTTACTTACAGGATATTTTCACAAATCCCTCAGGTGCTCTGAGACAGGAGAGTTTTGAATGGTGGCTCTCGTTCGTCTAGAGGCCTAACCCTCGGTTCAAACTTTCCATTCAACCTGTCTCAGGGATGAGGTGACACGAGCTCTGACTCCACAGGGTTTTTATGAACACTTGGGTACCTCTCGGCCAAACGTCCTCACCACTAATTGCCCCCAGACTGGAAAAAAACAAGTCCAGTCGAACAAATAATCAACAGCGAATTTGACAAGACAACACTGCCTCTCTGAATAAGACAATAAAATTCAGTAACACGAAACTTTTCTATCAACTAGAAGACTACTGAATTTCATCACGATTGTAATTAATTTACTATAACAAAGTTAAGGGAAACCGTAGCGAAGAAATAAAAAGAACGATCACAACTTTAAAAATCTAACACTAGAGAAAGAATTCCTCTAAATAGACCTATACACTATCATGTTCATCACGGCGAAGGAGAAAACATGACCATGAAGGCACATTTGGAGACGAGTTATCTTAGTCTGCCACGTCACTTATCTGATCAGATCTCGTAGCTCCTCAGCGTCTCAGAGTGGAGTAATACGCCACCGTACTTTACTGCACGGTTACACAGGAATGAATCAGCTTCTCCGGATGCCAAAAAGGAAACTCTCTCTGCCGTACTTCCCAGTACGACCACACATGAACGAATCAGCTTCAGGTGCGGATCCAGGAAACTCAAGTCACTATTGAGGGACTCCGGTACCCGTGTCGTCCGCACATTCAACACCGTAATTCAGCATACGTAAAACGTTTACTGGGTCGTGGCAGTTGGAACCACACTATCAAACGTAGACACTTGTTGGATCTTCAGAAAATCCTGAAAAACGTAAAGTAACAGACATGAGCGAACCGTACTCAACGTACCTATTTAATCAAGGTCCTTACTTCCTCCAAATGCTCAGATATATTTTAGGTTATTCCAAACCATGAAGGTTGGTTACCTCAATCATAGAATCCTTTTTGTTTCCTAGAGTGAGCACTAGATCATTAACTCGAAGAGTTCTTGGATTCAGTTCTGTGGCAAAGGTTAGACAGATCCCCATTATTTACTGTTCCTTCTAACGTAGAAAATAAGGGATCGGCGATGAAGTCAAAACCAAGACCTACTGAAATATGTTATGAAAACAATACGACAGTCGAAGCTTGTTGTGGTTACGAAATCACCTAGCAACAGCGGACATGACGTCATGTCTGCCCATAAGCTTCTTGTCGTTCAAAACCATTCAGAGACTTACCAAGTTCTGATACCGAATACTAGCAAATAATTAACGATACAAAGTTATCAATACTACAAACCCACTCCAGATATGTAGATTGATTGAATTGAAAAGGTTTAAAAGGTCATTTCAAAGCATTCTGCGAGAAATGTCAACCGAAAGTGCATTCCGATCTGGAGCTCCTTTCGCCACCCTCCTTGGCAAGAATCGTAGGAAAACAGATTCGCATTATCCAGCTGCTGACCTTACTTACCTACATCACAGACACTATGAACTCAAATATTAAATTAAAAAGTCCTTAAGAAAACTCACCCATTGTAAATAAAAAAGAGAACAAGGAATCTTGTCTGTATAACGGTCAATTGGCGAGACACAAGGAAAAACGCCTGCCTCCAAGACCGGACTGTAGAGAGTGACGCACACAAACACGTCCCCTAACAACAGCAGTTAGCGTACGAATCGCGCTCACTAATGCAGTGCAGTGGTCAGACAATTTATTTAGAATAGGCGTAGAAAATGCGTCCTAACATGTAATTCGACACTCAAAGCCTAAAAGAGTCATTATCAAAGGGTTTTATATGGATTTTTCCTATCAGGACTCCCCCACAACAAACGAACTATCTAACTATGCTTGGCCTATTCTATTACATAGTTACGATGACGAGTTTAGGGTGGTCAGCTATATGGACCTTCCTGCTGTGTCAGATGTGTGGATGCTGTCATGCGACAATTACGAAGCACGAACGCAACGCCTAAGCCACAGACGCCGACTATAACACTATTAAACTCTAATTTGTACTGCACAGGCATTAGCGCTATGTTGTAGCTTATCGGTAGCCTTGTTGCACTAGACACACGCCATAATGGCCTGAACATCATCATCATTTTTATCATAATAATGTGTACTGTCACCACCTATTTCTACACGAACTACACCAGGGCTGACTATGATACAAACTGGACGTTACTCTAACTTACATGTGCTAAACAGATTAGGTTCCCCTTCCACGATCCTAGACAATTGTCTCTTGAATAAAACGTATTCTTGGCATATTTGCCTCTAAGTCTTAGCGTTTGAACTTCTCCCAGTATCTTCAACAAAGATTTAAAGGTATGAGCACCAACGAATGTTTCAAGTCACGATTCCTTGTGTCGGCTTTATTGTCTTATCACATTCCGACTGTCTGAGAAAGTGTGACTCTTTTTGTACTTCTTTTTCGTAAATACACTTTCACTAGAATTCCGAATCTCTTGGGTACACCTAGCCTTGACCGTTCGAAATAATGTTTTCACTGACTTAAGTTGAACTACTCAGTTACCCTCCTTTAAGCTAGTCGGTTCATTGCCATATTTTTGTCCTGTATCGTTGTCCTCAGCTAATGTAGCTAAATGTCCGACTAGGTTTGCATATCTCTGTTCATTGCTTCATTTTGTGGTCGTTGTCCTTGGCTAAACGTAGCTAAATATTCGACTGGCTTTCCAAAGCTCTGTTCTATTCTTCACTGCAAGCCTTTTTTAGATCAGTAAACTGCCCGGCTCTCTGGCGCAGTTGGCTAAACCGGATTGCGCGGAGACCGGGTGGCGAACTCCTTGTGGTCCTTGTTCAATCCCGGGGGGTAGGCAG